GTTCAAGCCAGATACTTGGCATCTCATCTTGGGTGCAAGTTCATCAATGTTTGGGCTCATGCTCTGAGCGGAGGAGACCCTCAGGATTGAGTGAATGTGTGCGTGCAATATACCGGCGGGCCAGATCTAATAGTACTTAGAAATTATCCTGCGGGCCGAAATTAAATCCACCAAGGGCCTGATTTGGCCCCCGGGCCTCGAGTTTGACCCATGTGACTTAGGTCGAGGTTGAGGGAAGCAGGAGAACCAATCGCTTCATGTTGAATTTATGAGAGAGACTATTTTTCTTTTGAAGTACACTACTTGATTCCCTGTCGTCAATAAAGAAGAAGGACCCATACAAAATTAATAAAATAATAAAAAGTTCATAGAGGAATTGTTTTTGTTACTGCTTCTGACCAACCACTGAGTTACATCAGCTCAGTAACTTCCACAAGGCCTTGCTTAAAGTAATGAAATAATTAGTTAGCTTAAATCAACGGATAAAAAAATGCTAAAACAGTTAACTAAACTAACAGATAACTGTTAAACTGGTTAGCTAATGTAATGTTTAAGCAGTTGAAACTAAAGTAATAAAATAATCAGTTAAGATGGTAAGCTTAAATCAGATAAACAGTTAAAACAGTAGGATAAAAGTATTTACAAAATGTTTAAACACACACATCAACAGATACATAAAAACCTGAAACAGTTAGCTAAAAGTTAGCTGATAACAGTTTAAATGGTTAGCTAATGTAATGATTAAGCAGTTACAACTGTAGCTTAAATCAGCTAGCCGTAGTGGAAAACAGCAAAAATAGTAAGCTAACGTAATGAATAAGCAGGTGGGTCAATTGTTTCAAAGAAAAGGATAAACAATTGAAATAGTAAACTCAAGTATGAAATTACCTTTGAAAAAGATAGCTGAAAATGTGTTTAAAATAGTTAGCTAACGATGATGTGATGAACAACCTGTTGAAACCGTTAGCTAAACGTAACAGGTAAAACAGTTACGTTAACAGTTCAAACCAACCTGATCTCACCAGAATGCGTGACTCCACCACGACTCCTTAACACCGCATTGCGTGGTGGAGTCACGCATTCTGCTACATTTACGTGTCGGCACCACGCAAAAAACCCCAATGTAAAGTGAATGAGGCTCTTTTGTCGTGGTGCACACACGCATTTCTACAACGTCCCGCAGTGAGCTTTTATTCTATAAAACGTTTTTAAAATCTACTTTATATCTTGTAGTAACTCACAGGAGGCTTCTTTTATTTTATTTGTATTCATAATAATTTTTATTTTTCGTCAGAATGTAAAAATTACATTAGTTACGAATTGTTGTTCTCAAAAAACAGTGCATTGTGTGTAATGCAACTGTGATTTTTATTAAATTAGTTAGTTTTTAAGGAAGGCCAGAGCTTCAGCTGTATCAATAGATTGTTCCCTTTAGTTAACGTTATTTAAAAGATAATGATCATGTCCCCTTTATTGTATTACGAGCGTCCATTCCCATTGGATAATGGAGAATTTTACACCCGGAAGTAAGTATTCTCCTTACTGTCGATTGATTTTACAGTGATATCTGCACTACTCATCAACTCAAAAACACCAAATTATCCTTGTTAATTACACAACATTGATTGGTTTAAAATGTGTACAATGCTTTTGTATTTTTCCCCTTCGATTCGGAGAAACGAATATTTGTTCGGAGTTTTTGGATGGCAGAAGACACTACACTACCCAGAATCCTCAGCTATCGTTTGGGACTACACCATGTGCTTAGCTTGACAAACCCCGTGATCAGTCCTCAAGCTCTGTGATTGGATGTTGGAGTGGCAGTGCGCGAAGTTTACACGGAGCATCAAAAAGCACCTTGAAATGGAATGAAACCCATCGACGGCACACTATTCAAAACAGGAATCGAACGTGTCCTATCCCCCCCTTAGGTCGCAGGCTCCTCCAACAGTGCAACACAATAAAACAGATACACAGAACAAATAGTGAAATAGTGCAATAAGAGTCTACATACAAGTGATTGGTATCTTTTTTATTTTTTATTTAACCTTTATTTAACCAGATAAAAGCATTGAGATACAATCTCATTTTCAATGCTGACCTGGCCAAGAAGGCAGCAACGTTACACATAACACATAACACACACATATAAAAGAGAACATAACTAAGAAAACAAAAGACAAAAAAGCAGTCACTACATTGTGAATATGATATATTAGATAAATAATTTCTAGGTAGCAGCCAGATGAATGTTATGGATGTTGTTTCTAAGTTCAGGTGTTTAATAATCTTATAGCCTGTGGGATGAAGCTGTCCCTGAGTCTGGTGGTTTTAGTCCGGATGATGCGGTACCGCCTGCCAGACGGCAGCAGACAGAACAGTTTGTGGCTGGGGTGATGGGGGTCTTTTATAATCCTGAGGGCTTTCTTTAAGGTTAACGTGGTGTTTTTACTCCACTACATTTATTTTAGTTACTTTACAGATTTGGATTAATGATGTGAAATATAAACAACCCTTAAATCAGACTTTAGTTACACCTGAGTAAAATTCAGTGAAGGTGATTGTCAAGTGCCAACAATCAGGAGAGATATTTGATAGTTGGTGCTCGAGAAGACTAAACATTTATCTGCAGATCCGTATAAAGCATATTCATTACTCGTTATTCTCTAATCGTTCATTAAAGACTGTATATTATGGCTATTTTGCACATTCCTTTTCAAGATTTTCAAAGGTTTATTGACATATCATATACACAGCTACGGTGTAGTTATGCAATGAATGCAAAACTTGGGTCACAGGTTCCTCAACAGTGCATTACAAGACATCTATCAATATGTGTGTACCTCCACCTTTAAACTGTCATATTTTGCACATTTATTATTCTATCTAACATCTTATAAGAGTATAATAAATATGTATAATATCGGTTAAAATAAGTGCTTCAACATAGTTAACATTGCAGGAAAGTTGATTGTCAAGTTCCAAAACAAACCATGCAATATATATTAGACGTTAAGTCTTTTGTCAGGCTTAATAAGTATCTGTAGATAGATACCCCCACAGCTTTTTTCTTATTTAAAAGAAGACCTTAGCCTAAAGTATTCTTTAATGTTTAAATAAAGCCTTATTAGTTTGTTTGTTTTGCACATCCTCCTATCAGGCACTAAACTGTTTTTATTGTAGATATTATTTACAGTATCTTCTTGATATTTTCTATTCTATATTTATATCATTGACCTTCTACTTTCCCACTATTGTGTATGTACTCTTAATATTTAAATGTTTTCATCAAATATAACACATTCAAAAGTGCTTTACAAAAATGAAAGACATTAAGAAAAAGGCATTTTAAACAGTCATTAAAAAGCAACATAATCTTCCTGCATTGCAATTACTCCAAACGTGTAATAACGTGCTTTAACCAGTAGGAGGTGCGGGTTAAAAAACTGTCAAGTTTAAAGTGTTAACAAAATAAAATATACTGCTGTTTCTGGTTTAGTTTACGACGGATATATTTTGTTATTGTTTTGATATTTGTAACACAAAAGCGATGGAAAAACCCCACAGCAACACAGAAAATATGGTCTTAACATGACCCAGCGGTCTAGTAGTTAATACAAAACAATAATATCAAAACAGATTATTACTACTAACTTTATTGTGAAATTAAAACAGAACTTGGTGTTTTTGAGTTGATGAGTAGTGCAGAAATCACTCGACAGTCGGGTGTAAAATTCTCCATTATCCAATGGGAATGGACGCTCGTAATACAATAAAGGGGACATGATCATTATCTTTTAAATAACGTGAACTAAAGGGAACAATCTATTTGACACAGCTGAAGCTCTGGCCTTCCTTAAAAACTAACTAATTTAATAAAAATCACAGTTGTATTACACACAATGCACTGTTTTTTGAGAACAACAATTCGTAACTAATGTAATTTTTACATTCTGACGAAAAATAAAAATTATTATGAATACAAATAAAAGAAAAGAAGCCTCCTGTGAGTTACTACAAGATATAAAGTAGATTTTAAAAACGTTTTATAGAATAAAAGCTCACTGCGGGACGTTGTAGAAATGCGTGTGTGCACCACGACAAAAGAACCTCATTCACTTTACATTGGGGTTTTTTGCGTGGTGCCGACACGTAAATGTAGCAGAATGCGTGACTCCAACACGCAATGCGGTGTTAAGGAGTCGTGGTGGAGTCACGCATTCTGGTGAGATCAGGTTGGTTAAAACAGTTAGCCAAAACAAATAGTTTGGAAAGCAGTAAGACTAGTTAGTTTACAGTAATCGATAAATCGTGGACAGAGTTAGATAACGTAGTGAATTAACAGTTTAAACTGTAAAAACTGCTAAAAGTAACTGGTAATTAGTTGAAACCGTTAACTAGACAGCTAGAAGTAATGAACAAAAATTAATAGTTAGTTAAATGTTATAACCTATAGCTTCAAAATGTACCAAACCAAACTAACATTTATTTCAATTGCATAAGAATACTCCAACCATATCCAGTAAATATAACGATTTGGGAACATCTGATCATTTTTAACACCACAACAATAGTTTACATGATAGTATTTTTCCAGAGTAAAGATAAACAATGTTGTGATCTAAATAGCTGTGTTTGGTGAAGACCTCTCATAATTCCATGAGGAATAGGCCATGAGAGGGCAAGACGTTAAATAAATAAAATATCATTATTGTTCAAACAAATCATGTTGACTGTAATTGAGTAAGGCCTGAGGACAAAGATCATTAAAAGTTAAATATTCTATGGCCTTTTGGGTATTGTAGTGCATTGTCTTGGCAGTTAGATGTAGTCAGAGTAATTTCATTAATTCACATTGACACCATCCTTGCTTATAGGAAACAATGTGACGAAAATATCAACCCTAAGTAGTTAATATTTGAATAAAACAGTTTTCGTCTCAGTAACCACAGTAACGGCGGTCTACTGACTACATGTCCCACAATGCACCAGGTGTAAACTGGCAAAGTGTTGTCTGGTGCGTGGTGCGGACGTGTTTGACAGTTATTCAAAAATGGGGCCTGAAGTCTATAAGACTGGCTGCTTCTGAGTCAAATCCGGTCTGAGAGTGACCCCTGCAAATGTATATAATACCATATTGTTTTTTTGTTTTTCCAACGTGTTATTAAGCGGAAAAAACAAATGAATGAACACGTGAAGGAGAAGAAAGCAGGCAGTTTGAAAGCGGGCAACGAACCTAGCTGACCGAAGAATCTGTAAATAAGGTGAGGTCTCACTCCACTGTTATTTCACTCTTCTTGACAAAAAAAATGGTGTGTATATAGAATAGATTATCACTGATTTTACATAACTGTGATTCTTCTATGACTATTTGGTGACAGTTACTTTAAACTGTACATGCATTTTTAATAAATAGCAGTACTTTTACAGTTTTCGAGTTCATATTCAAATGTTTTTTTTATAATAGTTTTATTTTTTGCTCGTTTTTCTTTCAATGTATCTCCTTTAGCTATGTTTATGTATGGACCCTGTACACCAAAGCAATTCCTCGTATGTGTAAACCTACTTGTCAATAAACCTGTTGCTGATTCTGATTCTGAAGGTCCGAAGAAGAATGAATCAGGAGTGAGTCATCTTCTATCAAAACGATCTTTGACGCTTAGCTAAAGTGCTAAAGCTAAGGACCGACAGGCGGACCACACCGACCGGGCAGCACGTCCCTCTCTCCGGTATGATGCCCGGCGACAGCAGCATGGCCTCCATCGTGCAGAGAATCGCCCGGCAAGCTCTCATTACCTTCCGAAGCCCGCCTCGGTTTGGAGACGAGCCCGCTAAATCCTTCCTGGAGAACCAGAACAAACTAAGGAGCCTAATGACGGAAATACGAGCCTCGGATCTGCAGCTCGTCCCGCGGAGATCCGACGACATTCCCTCGGGGCTTCCGTACCACGACCCCCCGGTCACCTACATGCACATCTGCGAGACGGACCAGTTCAGCATGGGGGTGTTTCTGCTGAAAAATGGAGCTTCCATACCTCTGCACGACCACCCGGGGATGCACGGCATGCTGAAAGTCATGTATGGAAAGGTCAGGATCAGTTGTTTTGACAGGTTGGAGCAGACCGACGCGCCCCCTCCTGCAACCCCGCATCAGGTGGGCTCTCTGCGGCGTTCCCTGCTCCGATCTACCGCTGAATTCACGGAGGAAAGTGGGCCATGCGTGCTCTCTCCGGACCGGGACAACCTGCACCAGATCGACGCTGTGGACGGACCCACTGCGTTCATGGACATCCTGGCCCCTCCGTACGACCCGGACGAGGATAGGGACTGTCATTATTATAAGGTTCTTGCAGAAGGAGAGGTCAAAACATCAGAAAAGGACAAGGAGGTTTGGCTCATGGAGATCTCACAGCCTCCGGAATTCTGGTGCGGAGGGGAGCCGTATCCAGGCCCGGAGGTTTGCCTTTGAGCCTGCCGTAAAACGTCTCCTTTTCTCGGGCTGCACTTGGCACAAGGCCGGGGATTTATTTTTGGACAATGGGCTATAAAGGAAGGGTCACTGTAAATCATTACTGAAGCCATCACATGCATAAAGAGGGTCTGCATTTAGCTGTGCAGATGAGATGGTCCTGCAACTGTTTGTCGACTAATCACCAACTAATTTAATAGTCGATTAAAAGTCATTTTTCATGCAAATGTGTCAGAAAATGCTGTTTCATGACCCTCAAATAATATAATCCTATAGTGGATATCTGTTGGTTTTGGACCAGAGGTTTCAAGACACCTTGGACTTTAAGAAACCTGGGATGGACACTTCTCTGGGTTCTTAGAGCAAACCCCTAATAGTGAAATAATCAGCCCTGCAGCCAACAATAAGGTGAAGTCCTTGTTTTGTTTTGCTCACATCGCTGCCAAGCAAGTGATATATATAACTCAAGTTTACATTTCACTTGAACAAAAAGATATTGGAGTCCCAAGGCAAGTTTGTACTGAGATCCAAACATTTCTCAATCTCTATTAAGGGTCAAATCAGCTGAATGAGTTATTTTGTGTGTTTCACTTCTAATGCACTGGGATCTAAAACACATTTCAGATCATTCAGAAAGACATGAAATCTGAGTGTCAAGCATTGGTCTTTCTGTTTATCAAATATATCACGTTGGAGAAGACATTTCAATGTTCTGGTGATATCAGCAGGATTTCTGCTTTGCCACTGAACACTTTAAATGTTTCATCTCATGCATTTCTGCCTTTATTTGGTGGGTTCGGTTTAATTAAAGGCGGTGTCATTGTGTAAAAGCATACCATCAATCAGGTGACTGGTTTGAAATCTGAAAAGCACCAAAATTGGAGCTGTAAATGATCTGAGTAATGAGCTTAAAATAAGACCCTGTAAGGTATTTTTTTGCAAAAGAGATGCCAAGAAATGATGAGATTGATGCAGGGTGCTAATGCTGCGTTCAAGAATAATCAGAAAGGCTGAGTTGGCTTCTAAATCTAAATCTTTTAAGAACACATGTCAGCTTTCAGTAATGCATGCAGTTATACAAACAGTTGCTGTGAGTTGCATGTGTTCACGCTGCAGAACTGATTATGAATAATATACTTGTTCCCGACTTCTGGCTGCACTTGAATGCAGCATTCAAAACAACCTGAGCTGAGAATCCTCTGAGGAAATGTCCCGAACCTCAGAAACATGTTTTATCGTCTTCCTGCTTCTGGATTTGTGGCGTTTTGTTCCAGAAGTTCTGCTTTTTGAAGAATGAAAAATGTCTCAAACTCTCTAGGGTTTATTCTTGAGTTTAGGACTTTGAGGGCATTGTTTGTTTGCAACATGTGCACTAAATGAAGTGTCCCTCTTTTACCACATATGGAAGGAAAGGTTTTCAATATTTGTCTCGAATGTCTAATAAGGTAAATAACGTTTGAATTCCAGTTTGAAGGAAATCAGAGGGGCAAGGTGAATTTGTGAGTTTGGGTTTCTTATAAAATATGAAATGCTAGCTTAGGATAAAATAAATAAAACTTAAGTAACAACATGGTTCATTGTTTATTCAAAGATGTACAATTTAAAATCATGCTTAACCTGAAGCTATAATGAGAGAAAAGCACTAAACTTGTCAGAACGTGCTGCAAACTTGTGATTTAATCTCAGAGGACAAGACCGATGCTGTATCACTGAATGAAAGACAAACCGGACTAATAATGAGCAGAAAGTCTGTTAAAGTCTCAAACCTGATCATGTCTAATGCTTTATTCGATATGTTTTGCCTGTAATGAAAGTTCTGTTAATTCATATAAAATATGCTGTTTATTTTTCTCTCAAACATGGCACGTAAAAATCTTCTTAATCAGCTTAAATTGTTTTTACTTTCAATAAAATGTCATATTTCCTTTAGAAGAAAGCTCTGTTTGAATGAAAGGCCAGTTTCTGTGTCTTCATGGTTCATTCTTTAAAATAATGTTTGTGTTTATTTAGCTGTAAATCAATATTTGAAGTGTTTACTGACACTGTAAAATGCAGCCATACCTCCGGCTAGGAAGGTCACATCAACGTACTCCCGTCTCTAGCGCCCCCGCAGCCCGAGCTACGAGTGAAATAACTAAACTTACATGAAACTTCCGGTGCTTTAAAGTCAAGCTTCAGTTGAAGATTCTCCCTGTAATAGAAACATGTGATGGAGCATTACTAACCTGACTCAGAAACCATCTAGGAAAGCTCCATTGGAAGCCATTTGGAAAGGGCAGGCACTTTCAGAAGCACTTGGCAGGTGATTGGATCAATCTGTCTATCACCTTCTATCATGGGCCACTTCGGATTGGTTAACAATGGCTGGTGCATGTGGCGCACAGCACTTCTGATTGGTGTGGATGACTGACACACAAGAAGAACAACAACAACAAAAATCGCGGGCATTGCGATTTGATAATCGCATCATTAAAAATCGCGATTTCGATTTAAAATCGTTCAGCCCTAGCACAAATAGCATGTACACATGGAAAGTACATTACCTTAAGTGCAATTTGAAAGTATTTGTACCCAACTTGAGCTTTAGTAATTGCCTTTATTTAATAACCTTATAGTTTCTTTGAAATACAGACTAGATATATGACATATAATCACTAAATCATTCATCTGGTTATTAAAAGCTAACATACAACTTTATTGATCCCTTGGTCAAATTAATCATAATTTTGACAGTGTCTTTTTAATAATGAACTTACATGAATCAGTTCTGTCTGCAAACAACATAAAGCATTGAGTTTACATTTTATTACTGACAAGAAAATGTAAATGTGATGGTCTATGTAAAGCACATGTGTCAAACTCAAGGCCCGGGGGCCAAATCAGGCCCTTGGTGGATTTAATTTCGGCCCGCAGGATAATGTTTAAGTACTATTAGATCTGGCCCGCCGGTATATTGCACGCACACCTTCACTCCATCCTGAGGGTCTCCTCCGCTCAGAGCCTGACCCCAAACATTGATGACCTTGCACCCAAGATGAGATGCCAAGTATCTGAGCTAGCATCACAGAGCAGCACGCTGAGTTCAATGGATGCTTCCTTCTGCACTTTCTCTCTCAGGACAACAGGCCATGTTTGGTTTGTTCTTTGAGGGAAATAGTTTTGTTGAAGCTGTTGTTGGCCTGTGGAAAAATGTAATCATAAGAAATGACTCTGGAGAAGCTGCAGATAGAGCCATAAGAAATTAATGCAACTGATTATTTAATGTTGTTTTTATAGGCAATAATTTAAGCTTTGTTAGTTCCAGGTTTAATATGTGCAATAAGTTCTGCAATAAACATTGAACCAGTCCGGCCCTCCACTAGTACCCATTGTTTTATTTTGGCCCACTGTGTATTTGAGTTTGACCCCCCTGCTCTAAATAGTAACCTTTCTGCAGCTTTTGGTAATATGATCTTCTTCAGCAGGAGTTTGAAATGTATGATTAGAGTTTAAAGATTTTATCAAAATGGAAATTTGGGCCCAAAATAAATCTGCTGTGAAAGAACATGTGACCATAACATCAGAAGTTTAAATATTTTTTAAAAAGCGTTATATATAACACAAAATAAAGAGCCTCAACTCGACAAGTCCACATTTATTTGCATTGACAAGAAGCATCGGTCCAGCAGAATAAAAGCTTTAGTGCTCGACTTGTTTGCATATCAAATATAAAACACAACAACCTTTATTTGTCCAGTAACTCTCTTTCTTCTTCCTCTCACATTCATCAGGTAGAAATGCTGTTTGAATCTTCACAAGTATCCCAGGTCTGTGCATACTGAACGCATCCACAAATATAAAATATAACCAGAAATACATCTGATTATCCGGCTACAATCTCTCAAAATCCCAACATACGCTGCATGTAATACATCAAAGTCAACTCTTCATCCGGTGAATTAAACATCATTATTTTTAACATTTAATTTACAAAAACAGGTTAAAAAAAGCTTCTTTTTGCTGCATCCCGCCATTGAGTTCTTTAATAAAATAGTGAAAGTAATTTGTGTTTGCCATCCGATTTATGTCAATATCAAAGCTTCCAAAACGAGTACTTACAATAAGGAATGCATTTTTTGTGTGATAAATAAGCATCATAAGACACATTTAGTGTCACCACAACAATACCAAATATCGTCAGATATTCATTATTTAGCTGATATACAACAGCTGAGATGGGATTATCCTAAATAACTGTGGAAAACATGTGGAATTGTATGTCCTCTGAGTGACTGTCCAAACATCTTTGTGTATATTTCTGAAATGAACAGACTATTTTGTGCATTTTACAGAAACCAAACCACCTGAGCAGTAAACTGACAGCTGACTCGCAGGATTTCACTCTGTGTTTGCAGCCTGAATTGTAATGTAATCCCTGAGAACATGAAGCAGATACAGTAGTAGACACAATGCCTTGCAACGGAGCACTAAAGCAAGCCAAACTCCATATCTTACAATTAAGAAGAAATATAAAATAAATAATCAGCTTTTGATAATTGATAAATGGTATTTTTCATTATTTTCTGAGACCAAACGATTAATCGAGGAGATAAGCAACGCTACAATAACCAGCTTCGTTTTTATGGGCATTTCTGTGTATAATTTGGACCACTGATAAGTGAAGAGTTGTGTTTTATATAAATACTGAAGGCATGACCACGAACATCATAGTGAACTCTGGTTCTCCCTGATTCTTATGTTTGTTAAAGATATGGCTTCCAAAGATATTCCTGCCATCTTTTTTCTGAGAACAACAACTTAGTCTACAAAATAGGATTTGGGCTCTTTTTGCACACAGTGTCAGCAGGAGCAGAACGTTTACATTCAGCAGCTTTGCGCATGCGCAGCGAGGATCAGGCCGCGGAGGACTTTTTCTCCCTCTGCCGCAGGTGGATCTTCATGTGCCTCCGCCTCTCGTCGCTGCGGGCGAACTTCCTCCCGCACTGGTCGCAGGAGAACGGCTTCTCCCCGGTGTGTGTGCGGATGTGTGTGGTCAGGTGGTCGCTGCGGCTGAAGTTCCTCATGCAGATGCGGCACTGGAAGGGCTTGTGGCCGGTGTGGATGCGCAGGTGCCGGCTCAGCTCGTCAGACCTGGAGAACCGGCGGTCGCAGCTCTCCGCCGGGCACGGGTACGGCCTCTGGTGCACGGGTGTTTTACTCGGTCTGTTCGGGTACTTCCTGGGTCTCAATATGGGTCTGAGAGGGAGGCTCTGGTGGTTTGGGAAAGCAGCAGCCATGGGGCCATCTGCGGCCATAGAGGGCGCGCCGAGCGTAAAGTTCCTGATGGTGTTGAGGGGAGTGAGAGGGGGAGGCACCCTGAGGGAGTCCAGAGGATAAGGGAGGGATTTCCTGTCAGAGAAAGCCGCCTGTAGGTCTCTCTGGCAGCTCTGCGGGTAGAAACCTCCGTAGTCCGGCATGATGGAGAGCAGCGTGCCGTCCACACTCGGTTTTGGCACGGAGCTGTAGTTTGGGGGCGGGAGGTAAGACACGGAGCAGGTGGATGTGGCCAGGTAGCCCCCTGCCGGCTGTTCCTGGTACATGTCCCCGCTGCAGGAGTAGGAAGGGCCCGCGTGGGGGTGGGGGTGTGGGTGGTGGTGAGGGGGCGCGTACATGTGGCTGATGTCCGGCTGGCCGTGCGCCATGGTGTCGTCCCCCGCTGCGTAAATATCTGGCGATTCTGAGCACGTATTCGGCCCCGGGGCAGCGATGTCAGCGCTGATCACGTTGATGACGCCCCCCGGTGTCCACGGGTCTCCGGAGCCTCGAGACTCCACCGAGAACTTGCCGGTCAACGCCACGGGGTGCGTGCGTAAAGTTGCCACGTAGTGTGCCAAGTCTCCGTGCAGAGACAGCTCCGGTGTGCTCTTCCCCTCAAACAGAAGATCACCTGCAAAATGGAGCAAAACACCACCGGTTAGAAAAAAATCATTGCACAATGTTCATTTTTCACACTTATATGAGTTAATTTCTCTTGTTCAGGATCCCCAATAGCACTAAGCAGGCTATTCTTGTTAGGTAAACACCAACCTACAGCCAAGCATACTTAACAAACAAAACACCCCCATATTGACGTGTTTTAAAAAAAGTTAAACAGCATAGAGATTACATTTATTTTCCAATAGTGACCTGGGCAAGGAGAAGTATCAGGCCGATGTAATAACAATACAAATCACAACATGTCCATGCATCAACAACAGCAACACATCCAGACATGAGCTGTTATTATGCAGTGAAGTAAGAACAGTTTGTGGTGCAAAAAACGCATGTCCTAATTACGGAATCGAAACAAAATGTCATCAATCAATAAGCAAAACACAATGTGATAAAGCAATCACAATTTGTCAAGCATTCAAAAAAACGCGATTTGTTTTAAAATGTAATTAAGGTTTAGCCAGTTGATTTTCTTTACATTGTCGGTGCAATCCGAGTTATATGTTGTATCCAAACTCAGATCCTTACCGCTTTCCCCCTCCTCCTCTTCCTCCCCTACATCCTCCTCTTTAAACTCCATCGACCCCTCCGCAGTGTAAACA